TTCAGTCGGCACCCGGTGATCAAATATGTTGTTAACAAGTGGCAACATCGGTTTACATCGCTTGAAAGTTAGAGCAGAATTCGATTTTCATTGGTTCGTTAGACATGAGTTTGGAACATTTTTCTGCCCGAAAAACGGCTGTTTTCATGTTGAACATGCATCCAATTTGTACGCGTGCTGGATTTCATATTGGCCCTCATACGAGTCGAAAAAATGTCCGTTTCTGACATGGGCCGTATTTCGCATCAATGTGGCCGCGGCCAGATTTGTGATCTCTCGCATGTTGACAACAGCGCCACTGAATGCTTGTTCCACCACTGTGTATCGTCTGCACCGGCAATCTGCCTGCAAACGGAGCGGTTCTCAGAAACAAATCCATGGAAATTTGCGCCCATCAAGAATGCTATATGTTTCCAGCAACGCACTAATGTTTTACTATATGTCATTCGACGCACAATCGCGCGGTGAACACGATGGTATAACTGAAAACATTAACACACGTTTAGTTTTGAAGTTATTTCCAAAAAACTGTCTCAAACGGCGCTCGATGTTGATTTTGCAATTGCTGCACAAGCTGTTTGTTTGCACAGACACACTTGCCGCTGCACTTACACACTAAATGGACCATGCACTTTCATTCAGAAATCAAAAAATCGCGCTTCGAAACTTTTCCTTTTTTTTGACAAAATGCCCCCCCCCCAAAAAATTTTGGTCGGCACCCAGTGATCGAAAATGTTGTCAACAAGTGGGAACATCGGTATACATCATTTGGAAGTTAAAGCACCTTCGATTATCATTGGTTCGTTAGATATGAGTTTGGAACATTTTACTACCAGAAAAACGGCTGTTTTCAATCTGAACATGCATCCAATTTGTACGCGTGCTTGATTTCATGTTGGCCCTCATACGGGTCGAAAAAACGTCCGTTTCTGAAATGGGCCGCTTTTTGCATCAAAGTGGCCGCGGCCAGATTTGTGATCACTTGCATGTTGACAATAGCGCCACTGAATGCTTGTTCCACTACTGTGTATCGTATTCACCGGCAATCTGCTTTCAAACGGAACGGCTCTCAGGAGCGAAACTATGGAAACTTGCGGCTGTCAAGAATGCTTGATGTTTCCAGCAACGCACTAATGTTTTGTTACATGTCATTCGACGTGCAATTGCGCGGCGAACACGATGGTATAACTTAAAACATTAACGCACGCACAATTTTGAGGTTACTTGCAAAAAACTCCCTCAAACGGCGCTCGATGTTGATTTTGCAATTGCTGCACAAGCTGTTTTCCTGCACACAAACACTTCCCGCTGCACTTACACACTAAATGGACCATGCCCTTTCATTCAGAAATGAAAAAATTGCGTTTCGAAAATTTCTATTTTTTCGACAAAATGCCCCCCCCACAATTTTGGTTGGCACGCGGCGATCAAAATTTTTTTTAACAAGTGGAAGCACCGGTTTAAATTGTTTCGAAGTTAAAGCACTCTTCGATTTTTATTGCTTCGTTAGATATGAGTTTGGAACATTTTACTACTCGAAATGCGGCTGTTTTTAATCTGAACATGCATCCAAGTTGTACGCGTGCTGGATTTTATATTCGCCCTCGTACGGGTCGAAAACATCTCCGTTTCTGAAATAGGACGTTTTTCACATTAAAGTGGCCGCGGCCAGATTGGTGATCACTTCCATGTTGACAACAACGCCACTGAATGCTTGTTCCACCACTGTGTATCGTCTACACCAACAATCTGCTTTCAAACGTAGCGGCTCTCAGAAACAAAACCATGAAAATTTGCGGCCATCAAGAATGTTATATGTTTCTACAACTCACTAGTGTTTTACTATATGTGATTCGACGCGCAATCGCGCGGCAAACACAATGGTATAACTTAAAACATTAACGCACGTACAGTTTTGAAGTTATTTCCAAAAAACGCTCTGAAACGGCGCTCGGTTTTAATTTTGCAATTGCTGCACAAGCTTTTTGAATGCACAGCAACACTTGCCGCTGCACTTACACGCTAGATGGAAATTGCCCTTTTGTTCAGAACATAAAAAGTTGCGTTTGGAAAATTTTAATTTTTTTTGACGAAATGGCACCACCTAAAATTTTCAGTCGGCACCCGGTGATCAAAAATGTTGTTAGCAGGTGGAAACATCGGTTTAAATCGTTTGCAAGTTAAGGCACCGTTCGATTTTCATTGGTTCGTTGGATATGAGTTTGTAGCATTTTTCTCCCCTAAAAACGGCTGTTTTCAAGTTGAACATGCATCCAACTTGTCCGCGTGCTTGATTTCATATTGGCCCTCATACGGGTCGAAAGAATGTCCGTTTCTGACATGGACCGTTTTTCGCATCAATGTGGCCGCGGCCAGATTTGTGATCACTTGCATGTTGACAACAGCGCCACTGAATGCTTGTTCCACCACTGTGCATCGTCTGCACCGGCAATATGCTTTCAAACGGAGCGGCTCTCAGAAACAAAACCATGGAAATTTGCGGCCATCAAGAATGCTATATGTTTCCACAACCCACGATTGTTTTGCTATATGTCATTCAACGCGCAATCGCGAGGCGAACACGATCGTGTAACTTAAAACATTGACGGACGTATAGTTTTGAAGTTGTTTCCAAAAAACGCTCTCAAACGGCGCTCGATGTTGATTTTGGAATTGCCGCACAAGCTGTTTGCTTGCACAGAAACACTTTCCGCTGCATTTACACACTAAATGGACCATGCCCTTTAATTCAGAAATGAAAAATATGCGTTTTGAAAATTTTCATTTTTTCGACAAAGTGTCCCCCCTACAATTTTCAGTCGGCACCCAGCGATCAAAAATTTTGTTTGCAAGTGGTGACATCGGTTTTAATCGTTTCCAACTTAAAGCACTCTTCGATTTTTATTTGTTCGTTAGATATGAGTTTGGAACATTTTGCTTCCAGAAAAACGGCTGTTTTTAATCTGAACATGCATCCAACTTGTACGCGTGCTGGATTTCATACTGGCCCTCATACGGGTCGAAAAATGTCCGTTTCTGAAATGGGCCGTTTTCGCATTAACGTGGCCGCGGCGAGATTTGTGATCACTTGGATGCTTCATCAGGGCCACTGAATGCTTGTTCCACCATTGTGCAGTCTGCACCGGCAATCTGCTTTCAAACGGAGCGGCTCTCAGAAGCAAAACCATGGACATTTGCGGCCATCAATGATGCCATATGTTTCCACAACGCACGATTGTTTTACTATATGTCATTCGACTTTCGAAACATTGCCCCACTCGGCTTACATGTTCACACTGCCCTGGGGCATGATCTATTGCTACGCACCTTGACTGCATTCACCCGACACTTAGTGGATTTGGAAATGGTATAACACATGGGTTACCCTCTTGTCTTGCAGAGAAGTGACCTGCGCTTCTTATGCCGCGTCGCTTCGAATTAGCGTCTTTTTCATGTTTGGAAGTAACCTTGAACACCCTGAGCAAGACCGTGCGTCCTGGTCTCTGGCACCTCCAGCTTGGAGATCCGTTGTCACGTTGCAACAAGGCTATACAACTTGAGGCACTGACAGTCCGTCAGGAAGGCCAGCTGTCACGGCGACCACGACTTCCAACGCATTGCAATCCAGCCTTACCCATCGCAATGCTTACCGGAGCCGCAGGCAGATATGCTGAGAATGCTGTCGGTTTTGCGATGATGATAATGATGTAGGATACTTGAGGTCAAGACTCTGATCTTCACCATGAAACTGAATCTTGAATGGGAGGAAACAGGAACACGTCTCTATTATAATACCCCATGCTACGGTATTGGCATCGGACTCCGAAAGCTAGGAGATATGAACAGCACTGACAGCAAAACTGTTGAAGTAGACAACATTCATGGTGCAAAGCAAGCTCCTGCCACGTGCACGAAGAAAACACGGTTGCCTTCAGTATCGTTTATTTCCTTCGCCGCATCGGTCAACTCGTATGGACGCCTCACATGTGAAAAAACTACCACAGCCGGACTTGAACCAGCATCCTTCACCACACCGATCGCGGCCGTTGCGCGATCGCTGATTGGTCGACCGGGCCGCCACCTGTGAGCAGACCGGTGATTTGTTAGAGGGGGAAGAGCTGGATGGTGATTGGCAGATGCCCTGTTCGAAATCGTTCCAAAGTGTTTCATTTGTGTTTCAATTTGTTCCTAGTTGTTTCATTTCTGTTTCATATTGACGGAGACGTCACAGCGATTGGAGGATAAAGTTCCCCGTGGCGGGGGAAAAGATGGGGAAGGAGAGGGGAAAAGAGGCGAGTTTCAGACCGCCGCCGGCAGGCGGCTGGCTGCGTCGGCCGGTAAACGGCGCCGACGCAACGCGGCCGTCAGCCGGCCGACAAGAGGGCGCTTACGTGCCGGGCGCGATGAAGGCGTGAACGATCAGTGCGTACACCAAGCACCAACATTTGCTGATGTAGCAATGACATTGCCATTTAAACTGTGCTTCCGTGCGTCATGGCACGCTGGACACTGCAGTGATGTCAACAAAAAGACCAACATTCGACTTCGCCAACTTTATTTTGGGGAAAGTGTTTGGCAAAGCCATGATAAAACACAAAACAAAAAACACTACTCTCCGCCTTTACGCGCCGCCTCCGCCCGCCGCTCGGCCAGCCATTCGGCCGCCGACAGCCGCTGCAGGGGGTTGTGCGGGCAGAACCGCTGCCCGCGGAACTGTGTATGACCGACGTCGGTCATGGGCCGCCCACACACCCTGCAGCGGTAAACATTGCGCCGACGGGGCAGGGGGGGGGGGGCGGCGGCGCATCACCGGCGGACAGCGGCGGCCGCCGCGGTAGCCCCTCGCCGGCGACGCCACTGGGTGGTGCGGGAGACCGGGCGGGGCTGCACCTGCGGCGGCTCACCGATGCCCCCGGCCGCGGCTGGGCCGGGCGCCGCGGCCGCCGGTGCTGGCGCGCTGACGACGAGCCGCTGGAGGGCGGCTGGGTCGGCAGCGGCGCCTAGGAGGCGCTGGAGGGCGGCTGGGTCACCGGCAACGTACGGCAGCACCACGACAACTGGCGGTGCTGTCGGCGCGGCAGGAGGTGGCGGCGCCGGCGAGCTGGCCGGGCGGCGCACCGACGTCTCGCCAACGGTGTCGGCTGGCTCCGGCAGCTGCACGGCCGGATGCTGCCGTGGGCGAGGCGTGACCGGACGCGTCGCTGCTGCGGGTAGGTGTTCTGCCGCAAAGGGTTGCTCGGCAGGCAGGTCCCGGCCCTGCAGCAGCGTGCGGACCTCGTCCAGACGCGTCCGGTCCTTGAACCTGCCAAAGACGATGAACAGCGCGTCACTCACATGAGTTGCGTCCGGATGCGTGCGGCCTTTGTGCCTTCGACAAACGACAGAGCATCAACCAATCAATCACTCTCAGGTGGCAAGACAGCGGACATTAGGGACAGTCACTGGCGTTGTCAGGAGGACGCGAGCTGAAATCACTCAAAAAAGCACTCGCGCCAGGTACTCACCACTTGCCGAGCGTGCTCTCGTTGAGAGGGTACAGCTGGATGCCGGTACCCTCCAGGAGCGCTCGGCTGTTGTGCAGCCTCCCCCGCACCCGGTCGTACGCCGCCAGGATAAGGCGCCGGCGCGACACCTGGCGAGGCTGGTTGGCGGTGGGCCGCCGCCGTCCCGGGTACTCCTGGAGCAGGCGCAGACAAAGCGCCTCCACCAGGCGTGATCACCAGGCAATAGTCTGGTGCTAAAGGGTGGAGGTGGATACTGTGGTTAAGGGCGCACAGCCATGGGCGGGGAGACAGCCGTTCATGGTGCCTGACCGGATCCGCCATCCCGCCAATGCCCCGGCCACCCGCTTCATCCTAGCTCTGTGGCTCACATGACTGTGTGTTGATGTCGGGCGTACCGGAGCCACAACGTGTCGAGCCGTGCGCTAACATCATCGAGCTCGTATGCTGACCAATGGGCCCCTCATTATAAATTTGCTCTCGTGGGAGGACGTGACAGCGGCAACCGGCGGCGTGCAACATCCAGCGGCGGCCAGGAAACCCCGCCCCAACCCACCGCACCCCCAAACACCCCCCCCCCCCACATTTGTGAGAGTTGGGTGACTTCCCATCATCCTGACGGGAGACTATAGTTGTGCTAGTACCGAACCAGGAAATGTGGAGTTGTCTTTGTTGATTACCGCTCCATCACCCCCACAACATTGCTTTGTGTAATCATGCAAGGGGTGGGGAATGTGCGACTTACCTGGATTTAGTAAAGTTAAAGTTCTTTACTACAGTACTGTGCTGTTTTCGAAAGAACAGGGTTACTTTTGACCATAGTGTGAACTCTTTACAATGTTGTGCGGAACTGGTTTAGCCGGAACGGAGACGCTGAAGTCATTTCTTCGACATAAAAGATATTTACGACGTCACAGGGACGGTCAAGTATGGTTTAATAAAGGTACTCGGTTGTGTCATTCGAGCGCCATGGACACTTTTTACAAACGTGCTTATTTCACCTATATTTGTAGTTCGTGTGGGCTCATGCATCGTCGATAGATATTTAGAAATTTGTGTGCCTCGGGACAGTGTACAGAAGGAAAGGGAAACACTCATTTGGGGAACACCACTCACCCCAATACGATGAATATTTGGTACTGCACAGGAGGAGCTGACGGCCCTCTTCGATCGTGACACCGGAGATGAAGAAGAGGGACCGGGACGCTCCGGTTTCATCTGATGCTGGAGCCTTTATCTTTGCATGCTGTGATATTGATAGCAAGCACTTTTCGCTCACAGAAGACGACAAGGCAGTGTCAAGTCATCACATCAAGTTTAAACCCGGATTGAGAGGTTGTTGAAGCATCGCGTGCTTGCAGCCTATGCGTATAAGACATTTTTGAATGGAAATGTGAAAAATGACATAGCATGGTAGTACATGTACTACCATACAGTTCTCAATTCTCTTGGTACGGCCTCTGTTTTCGTTCGCTGCTGTCAATGCCCATCACGTATCATCGCCACTTCCAACGTCAGGTTTTCGCAGTAGCTTTAGAACGTAAATAAATACGGCTCTGCAATGTTGCATATCTTTTCTATTTATTCGCACCTTGAATCACTTTGTTTCTAAGGGTCTCGCGTGAGGGCGTCATTCGATGATATGTTGATATGTATGTTGATATCATGATGATACCAATGTACATATTATATCTGTGAAAAAGCGTCTTTTAACAGTTTGGGGTAATTGTTCTGATTACAACAGAAGACATGGTCTGAGCTAGGCTGGGCAAGGGTTATAGAAGTCATTTTGTATGACGTATCCATTGCTTAGGAAAAAAGCGTCGGAGCGGAGCGACGCCAGTTTTGTATTAACTTTCTATGCTTCCATTCGCCATTCTATGGTCTCATTTTTTGGCGGCGTAGCCGCAGCACAGCAACCTGGCATACCGGCACCCTGGCAGCATCGACACATCCACAGCACGGTACTCAGGGGGCACACCCGCAGCATGACACCCGGCAGCACAGCCACAGCACGGTACTCCGGCGGCACAGCCACAACACGGCACACCGGTGGCACAGCCGCGACACGCAACCATGGCAGCTGGCACATCAAATCATCCCGGCTACACCGTCACCCAAGAATCCAATAGATGGCGTACTCCCTCTTCCAATAGTCTTCGTACCACCCGCCCCCCCCCCCCCAAAAAAAAAGTTATCGGAAGCGAGAGGCACATCCCTCATAATGAGCAACCACCCTGCAAAAAGACGACTGGAGGAGAAGGCCCAGCGGTAAAAGCGCTCGACGCCTTGTAAAATCAGAAAAAGCTAAAGTAGAACGAAAAAGAAGCAACGAAAAGAAAACGCAATAGGAAAATACTCAGGATCAGATGAAATCTGTTTGTAGTGCTCAGAAGGTGTCACCGGGAAGGACGCGACGTGGCTTTTTTTGAAGCGGATGCATTTCTACTGAAACGTGCAGTAACGGGTCCAACAGCACAGCCAGGTGCCAGGTTGTGCTATTAGGCACCTCGGTAGATCAGCGGTGTCGCAAGAATACACGTTGTTAATTACCTGCCAGTTTTTCACGGCACGATACAATGAGGAGAAATAAAAGAGAAATGAATCAATAGTTTTTGCCGTGCAAAGGAAAGGATAACGATTTATTGATTAACCCTGGAGCAGTTGTGAGAAGTCGGTATGCTTCGAAGGCATAGCATCTTCAGTGTACTCCGACTCTCAGGGTGACCGTCGTCAGACAACACCGCACGAAGTCCGATGTCATCTGAAATCTCAGCTTTGTAGCCCTGAGAAGAAAAAGGGCAAATATGACAACAACAAAAGTGGGAAATGTCGCCCGCTGAGCCCCCTGAGAAAGAACCTCCTGGGCCCATATGGGCCTATATGCCGGCCAAGTACCACCGTACCACATAGTCGGCTCCGTGTAGGTATAGACCTAAGGACCCACTTCCCAATCACCCATAAGACTGGGGCCAGTGATTTACGCTGATCTGGAGCCTTGTATCTGGCAAGGGCCCACAGCGTCAAACAGAAGGCCCTGTGCTCGCAAGGGCCCAGAGCCGACCAAGGGAAGTGTTCGATGAGGTCCGAAGAAGGGCCCGGGCGGCCCACCGGAACCGACGATCAAAGGCTCGGTTGGAGGGCATGACGACCCGAAGGACCGGGTGTAGGTCACATAAAGAATCGTGGCCCGTAGGGTCGTAACCTGATATACCTGCCAGAGGTCTTCTTGCGCTGTTTCAGGAACCCCTGAGACAATGCGAGTGTCTACGTCGGTCAGAGACCACGAACGCCGAACAGTCGACTCCATGTCCGTCTGGGCCCTTGAGACCCATTTTCCGAACAGAAATGAAGCTGGGGTCCGCGATTTGCAATGTTCGGAGTGCATAACACAATGAAGGGCTCCTGCGTTGGTTAGGGGCCACAGTGCCGAACAGGGGTCCTGTGGCGGCAAATGGCCCCCGAGTCGGAGCGGCGTTTGAGGGGGCCCGAAGATGGCCCGGTGGGTCTCTCGAGACCAAAAGATCAAGGGCCCGATGGGCTGGCTGAAAGGTCCGAAGGGCTGACTGTAGGTCACACTAAGAACCCAGCCCCTCTTGCACAGAAAGGAACCCATGAGACAGAGGGTTTCTCAATTTCGACCAGAGATCATGAACAGCTAACAGTGAACCTCTTATTGGTATGAGCTCTTGGGGCCTATTTCCCAAGTAGAGACAAGGCCGGGCCCACGATGTACTGTATTTTTTCCTGTATCGTTCAGGGACCCACAATGCCTAACAGGACATTCTGTGCCAACAACGGGCCTCGATTCGGTCAGGAGAAGATTTGCTCAACAGGGATGGGGACGAGAGCCCGAACAGCAGAGGGACTCCTGCGTTGGTCGGGGTCCTCTGATAATTGAAGGAAACATAAGAGCTTATGATGAGTGCTCACACTGAGGTAAAATAAGAGTCCTTTGCCAGTCAGGGCCCCCAGTACCAAACGGTGGGCGCTCCCTCCCTATTCCAGCATGGGCCCGTTAAGTCCAACTAGAGTCTATGTGCCAATTATTTGACCACCTGCGGCGAGCAGGGGTGTTGATGCATTAATGACGGTTCACGCGTCGATCCTGGGTCAACTGCGCGGGTCAGAGGGTTTATCACGTCAGGGAGCGGAGCGATACGATATGATGTATCTATCTAAGGGCCTCCGGATCGGCCAGTGGGTGCCGCCCTGTGTCGCCAGAATGGCGGCCAGAAAACACACCGCGGTGGGACAGAGTGGCCCTACAGCCCTTGACCGATGACAACAATGTGCTCCGTAGTGTTGTACTTAAGGGGACCCCTTTACCGAATGGAGATAAGAGATCTCCTTAGTGTTGGATGGAATGGGTCGAAATGGGTTCCAAATGCACAAAGCCAGCCCATGTTTCGTTGAGAACGTTCGTTATTTTGCAGAATCAACTATTAAAACAAATGCTATCAAAACGTTGGAGCCTGCGCGTCAGGTGCCTCTAGTGTAGTGATTAAAATGCCTGCGTTAACCACACCGCATCCGAAAAACCACAGGTACGAGGTTAGATTTCCCACGATGTCTGCTCTTCCCGCCAGGGTGAGAAGCTGGCGGCGCCAAATAGCTTAAACAGATAAGTGCGTCATATAGCCCAATTGATTCGCTCGTAATCTCGTGAAGCAAGGGAAGCGATGGCTTGAGTCATAATCTTCGCAAAACCGAACGACGTTCGCCACTGCAAGCAACGCCGGGGGGGGGGGGGGGCGGACGCCAAGCGCGCTCTGCGTCCGTCCAAAGTCCTGACACCTTAAGGTTACCCTTCAAGGTCAAAAGCGGTCTAAAAGGATGGGGAACTCTATATCACCCACAATTTACTGGCTGATTTTCAACTTCCAATTTGTCAGAGCATTCACCACAGGAAGAACTAGCGTCCATCAGAAAGTCCTGCCTCTTAAGGTCATCCTTCAAGGTCAAACGCGGGCTCAAAGAGCGGGGAGCTCGATATCACACAAAAATTACCGACCGACTTTCAACTTATTAGCATCAGAATATTCACCACAGAAAAAACTAGCGTCCGTCAGAAAGCCCTAACCTCTCAAGGCAAGCCTCCAAGGTCAAACGCGGGCTCAAAGGACGGGGAACTCGATATCACATAAGAAATGACGGCCGGTTTTCAACATGCTGGTGTCAAAATTTTCACCACAGAAAGAACAAGCGTCAGTTGTTAAGTCCCTACCTCTTAAGGCCACTCTTCAAAGTCAAGCACGGACTGAGAGGACGGGAAACTCGATATCAACCAAAAATTACCGACTGGTTTGAAAACTATAAGCATCAAAATATTCACAAACACAATAGCCAGCGTCCGTCAACAAGTTCTGACATTTCAAGATCACCCTTCAAGGTCAAGCACGGGCTTAAAGAACGTAGAACTCGATATCACCCAAAAACTTCCCCGATTTTCAACATACAAAACATCGGATTAATCACCACCGAAAGAACTAGCGTCCGTCAGAAAGTCCTAACCTTTCAAGGTGATTTTTTAAGGTCAATCACGGGCTCAAAGGGCGGGAAACTTGATATGACCCAAAAATTACCAACCAATTTTTAAGTTACAAAGATCAGA